CTTATGTGCTCGCTATTAATTGGGGGAGAAAGAAAGAAAAAAGAGAGAAAGAGTGAAAGAAATGGGAGAATTTATAGCACGACTGTGACAAAACAAGAAGTTCATCTCAGTCATAACTACATACAAAGCTTAAACAGTCTGAGGCTTCCATTCACTTCCTAAGCCACTTTTCAGTTTTCAGTTTCTGACTAATGACCTTTTGTGTTTGAACTAACAACAGGCCAAAAAGGAGAAATCAGAATGTGGCTTTATTGCATTTTCAAGGGCCGCTCAGACTCGAATAGGTGGCTGAGAAAATCCTTGTGAAATACACACTTGTTGACACTTTGTCAATGCGTGTGCTAATAAAATACGAGCTCTGCGCCAATGTGACATCAATTCGAGCAATTGTACACCCGAAAAGGCTTAGCAGTGCAGATGTGCCATGTTTCTGCAGAGGCAAGATTTAGTAGGGTTGTTCTGTTCTAAGGGAACAGTTTGGCAAAAAAATAACATATATTTTTCTCCAATGACACTGAAGTGGTTGTGGCGTTTTAGTGTGTTGTGCTGGTAAGAGTGGATCAGTTTTTCCACTCACTGCTGGACTGAGAATAGTCCACCTACCAAAATACACAGCCAACAGCGTCCTGTGGGCACTGATGTAGGACTAGAGGATGACCAACACAAACTGTGCAGCAGCAGATAAGTTATCGCTCTGTCTTCACATCTACAAGGTGGACCAACAAGGTGGGACAGTCTAATATAGTGGACACTGAGTGGACAGTGTTTAAAAACTCCAGCAGCACTGCTGTGTCTAATCCACTCATACCAGCACAACACACACTAACACACCACCACCACATCAGTGTCACCGCAGTGCTTAGAATGGCCCACCACTCAAATAATACCTGCTCTGTGGTGGTCCTGTGGGGGTTCTGACCACTGAAGAACAGGGTAAAAGGGGGCTAACAAAGCATGCAGAGAAACAGATGGACTACAGTCTGTAAATGTAGAACTACAAAGTGCTCCTTTGTAGTAAGTGGAGCTGATAAAATGAACAAAGAGTCTAGAATCAAGGAGGTGGACTTACTGAAGTGGCTGGTCGGCTAGCGATGCAAATATCCAGCCAGCTACGTTCATTTGAAGTAAAGTACCTTAAGGCAGGAATATTCTGTGGAATAGCATTTAAATGAAGTTTAATGTCATTAGCACACACAAGTAAAGAGTGGAACCTGCCACTGATTTCTGTGACTGGCTACTGAGTCACTGACATTGCTTTTGAGCAGAATAAAAGGAAACGAAGGAGGCTTATCATGGTCAGCTAGATCGTTCTGACCGATCTTGAAATTAGCCAAGGTTTATTCTGAACACATTTTACATTAAAATTCATGAGAGAAGACAGCAGGACTCATGGGCAGTTATAAATCCTCATTTCCTTTAAAGTTATTGCAACAGCATAGGAAATTGAAAGCATGAATTTTCGTTAGCTGGTGCAGTCAGTCCCCTCTGCTGCGATTCTACAGTGTGATGCCACGTGAATCCAGATACCAAGCACATATATCGGTCACATGGCTCAATGAGGTCAGCACCCCACTGACTGAATGTTTCTGCTGGTCTATCCCCGAACCACCCAGACTACTGTCCTGCACACAGGTCTAACTAGTTTTCAACCTCCTCAAACAGATTACAAATGCACACTGTCTTCTATTTTGGAAAATATACAAAACAAACACTCATAGCAAGAAGGGTCTGGGTTCGATTCCCCAGCCAGGTGACCAGGGTCCTTTCTGTATGGAGTCTGCATGTTCTCCACATGTCTGCGTGGGTTTTGTCTGACAGTCCAAAGACATGTAGACAGACAAACTGGAGCTACACTGCTACATTTCCCCTGGGTGTGAATGTATATGTCTGTCTGTCTGCCCTGTGATGGACAGGCGACCTGTCCAGGGTGTTTCCTGCCTTCTGCTCAATGACAGGCTCCAGCACCACCCCATGACCCAGGTGGATAAGCGGCTTAGAAAATGTGTGTGTGTGAAAATGTTGTTGCTGAAACTGTTGCTGTGCTAGAGTAAAATTACTTACTAAACTAACTAAAGTAAACCAAAAAAAAAAATGAAGGACGAATAAGTAAATTTGACTATGAGTGCAAAATGAGTGATGAAAAGTGCCATTTTATCTAATACTCTGCTTAACCATCAATGGGCCACCTGGAAAACACTGTGTAAAAAGCCAGTTGGCTGCCAGCTTAGCCATCAGCAGGCAAACAGAGGCCCGCTATCCTCTTGCTAGCTGGGAAGTACATAAATACCAGTTAGCATCTTAAAAACTCCATGCCTAAATCATCGAACACTTGCCTCAGTGTGGAAATGTTAAATAATCTCCAACACACTTGCTTATGTGATTTCTGATACTGTATGACACACTGCTATCTACAAAAAATGGACAAAATTTGGGCTTCAAGATGGTCAATACTGTTTTTACCTTTTTTAGCCCTACAGATCCAGCGCAAAACTAAAGAAACCAAACATATCTGGTCTATTCTACTTTTTGCCAGACTATTCCTTTAACAGTTTTCATGACATCACTACGATAGCCAGCCAAGTGGTCATCCGCATGGCTACACTAGAAAGCAATGAGGTTTTTCCATTGGACGTGCTAACCATTATAATAGCGCTCTGCATTAAATTACTTCACTGCGCACCCCACCCATATGAAATAATGAATTACAGAATGAGCTAAATGACAGGAATATTATATATAGAAGAAAAACCTCAACAGATTTTTCACAGATAAGCTCCAGTGTAAGTGAGGGCTGACAGAGCTGCGCTTGCACGCAGAGCGAGCAGCAGAGGATGTAGCGAGTGCAGCTGGGGTTATTTTTGGAGCAGCAGTGTAGGGTACTACACACAGCCAGGCAGAGTGAGTGACGCGGTGAGTTTGTGTGTGTGCTCTGCGCAGCCTGAGCTTCAGCAAGCACAGTGTAATGGAGACAAAGACGGGCCATGTAGGGACGCTGCTGGGAATAAGATGAGATGTGTCTGAAAAGGTGATGGTGCGCCATCGCTTTGTCCTCGAACAGCAGGAACGTCACTGGAAAGCTGTTATCATTGGATGTGCAAGCACTTAAACTGTATTTGCATTGTGTTTATCATATACACTGTGTTTAAGGGGAAATTTTTAGCAATGCACAATAGGGCTGGACAGATTTCGTTTGAGTACAGTTTTCAAATCGAAAGAGCTGCAATTTTCTTTTTGGCCCATATTATCAGCAAATGAACCGTAAGTGAGGGAATTTAACCCAATAACATGGAAATACCAAACACCATGTGCAGTGTGCTAACTGGCAGTCTGGCTCGCTACATTTAGTGTTCAAGCATCAAGCCAGAAAAAATGGATATGCTGGTTTTCTTGTTTAACAAAATAGGCCTGCATCTTAATTTATAGAAAAAATCAACATGCAACCCATATTGCAGTCACAGTACTGGTCAGAAAAATCACAATTAGATTTTTTCAGGGTGGCAAAACCAAATATTTTGATATCTGATTATGAATTAACTGACTAATAATCATTGAAGTGGCTTAAATATGGCCTGTAAATGTAAACGTTTGTCAGTGCTCTGACAAACTGAGGTGCTCTTTTGTTCTCTTGTGCTCTTTGTTTAAGCCTGCCCATAATTTTCAGCTACAGCAAGTTCAGTAACAGCTAAAAATACGTGATACAATAATAAATATTTAGATTAACGTTACAGTGTTAGGCATTGAGGTATTTTACCAATTTAATGTGACAGCTCACAAGACGAGCTCTGTGTGAACAGGTTTTCAGGATGAGCATCTCTTTCACAATGTTTTTGTATTTTAAGCTAATTAAACAGTCGTATGTAATTAGCTAGATAATGTATGTAACGCAGTGACAGGATGAGCTGACAAATGTTTTAAGTAATTAACAGAAACTGATAGTGTTTAGCATATTTCAGAGACTAACGTTAGTTATATAACATGATGAGCTTTGGTGATGTTTGTAAGGGGAAAATGAACTCATTCTGGCTAATCACAGTGCGAACTGTGCGCTCTCAGGGAAAATGGAGGAAAGCTAACATTTACTGACATTCCAGTTCGTTAAAATCCACACCAGCATGTTTTCTTTTCCGGCGATCGAAAGTAACATTGTGCATCTATGGTAAGCCAAATCAGACATGCATATGTTATATGTTATATATGCTGCTCTTACAAGTGACAGTACAAGTGAACTGCTGCCCTAGATCATAATTCACTCTGCGTTGGATTTCACTTTACTTCAAACAAAAAAAATCGACAATGGAAATATTGGTTGACATTTGTTTTTGTCGTAATTTTTGCAGCCCTATATATCTTTTCCAAAATGCTCAGCACTAATGTACAATAATTTTGGAATCATATTTGTATTTGCATTAAACCTACACGGTGTACATTTTGGGGATTTGGAGACCTCTCTGGCGGAAATGTGTAATTGCAAACAGTGTGTAGCAGAGCATTTCATAACATGGGTTGTGCTTCGGACCCCTTCCCTGAGCGGATGAATCTGATGATAGTGAGCGTGTTGAAACAAAATTCAAAGAGAACTCAGTTAAAACTAAAGGTGTCTTCAGTGTCTTCAGAGTACGACAGAGTGAATTATCTACTACTGTCATCATATCTTCAACAGTATAATGCTGATTTTGCATTTAAAATCTAAACATTGAGCGGGACCTTCTTTTTAAGCTTGACGTTCATATGTACATACGTATGACATGGTCTGAAAAAGCTACATTGCGCAGAAGTTTAGTATTTGACTGATATTTCTAACTGATATTTGATGATGCATTTATTGCAGCCTGTAAGAGCAGAATGTTTAGGTCAGTAGTTCTCATACTGGTCCTCATGGACCCCCAGATGGTCCAGATTGGTGCTCCCACCCAACTCAATAATAAGCCTCTCAACAGCAGCTTCTTTTGTCTATCAGACAGATGTAGGACTAAAAAGTTTGAGCAAGTTACTATATATACCTGGACTGAATCTCAGACTGTTCTTTCTTTCACTCTCATGCACACACTCTCCTCTCTGAACTGTGTCCATATGCCTCTCTCTTTCTCTCTCAGTTCGTCCTGCCTTTCACTGTCTGAAATCACACACACACACACACACACACACAGAAAGTTACACTCAGTGAACTCTCAGTGACTTCCAGCTTTACCCCTCAAAAAAACCCCAGCAGTTACAGTGAAATGCAAATAGCAGCCAGGCCTCAATCTGGCACCTGGCCGCTCTCTCGCCACAGCACACCGCCGAGACTAATAAAACAGCCAGAGAGAGAGAGAGAGAGAGAGAGAGAAAGACAAAGAGAGAGAGAGAGAGAGAGAAAGAGAGAGAGAGAGAGAGAGAGAGAGAGAGAGAGAGAGAGAGAGAGTCACTTTATTCCTCCTTTTCTTTCTCTGTCAGAAATACTTGCGTTGTCACAATTAATCGATTATATATGGGGGAAAAGTATCGATAAAAATTGACATTTTCTGAACTCAAGTGATCAGCTGACAGTTTGTATGGTGACAATACATATATTAAGCGTAAACATAAGCACTCGAATAGTGTGCTTGTGCATTTTTAATTTTAAATTTTCAAACATATGGTTTTCATACAGTGTTCGTTTGAACACAGTTTTATCCCTCATAGGAATCAAAGGAAGAATGTTCAGAAAACTCAGCTGGGCTACACACCAAATGCGAAAAAATGACACAAAAATAAGAAATATTCGGACGTGTGTCACGTCTTTATCAGCCCGGCCTTCAGTTTAGACAATTTGCGAGGTACTGCTTCTTTCACAAAAGCTACTGAGCATCCAGTTTGTTTTTCTGTTTATTGACCATTTGCCTGTTTATTTCAACTCCGCCTTTCTGCCTGACGCCTTGGACTTATGACAGTTATGACAGTGTTTTTCTAGTTTTGGACTGTTCTGGATTTGACCTTGGCCGGTTTTATGACAATGACTTCGGAACTCCCTCAAACTAGTAAAGCCTCTTCAGTTTTTACAATCCGCATGCTCATTCTGTGCCGTTACAACGTGTTTTTTTTTTTTCATCAAAACTATACACACTGGACGCAAAACGATTTTTTAAACATTTTGCCATGTTTTTGTGCCATGAAAAACTTGTATTTGCTTTATAAACATCAACTATATCAGACAGTTCTCTGCTCCTCACTGAAAGGGCTAAATGTGACATTGTGCAGGAGGCTTTCCACTTTAAAAGCAAAAGGAGAACTGAGAGTTTCTCACCTCATTTCAGGAGCAAAACTTGGCCAGTGCTTTTACTCACAGCTGGGATCTCAGCTAAGCTTTAGCTGATTTTGGAGATGCAGCTCAACACTAAACGAAGCTCAAAACAAACAGGCTGAATGTCTTTAGGTGCAAATAAGATCCGGTTCTTTGCTCCCAGCAGAACGGACAAATGGTAACACTAGGCTTCTGTCCATTTTGGAGAAGTGAAGGTGGAGAAGTGAAGCCTGGTCTTGTATGACTGGAAATAAATGTGAACATGGCCGCTGACTGGATAGGCTTTCCTATAAAGACTTTGATATAACCAAGCTGCCCAACACCAGGGCAGTGTAAAGCTATTTAAACCATGTTATTTAGAAAACTCATGTTTCATGTGGGGATAAAACATAACCCGTTACACGCTCTATAAAATGCATGCTCCAAACCACAGCTAGACAACTCTGTCAGTAAAGCAGTTATTCTGATAGGCCCATGGTTTGTTTACATTTGCACTTGACCTGTGCAAGTGAAATTTCCAGTGAAGACATCCTGAAGGATACAATGGAACACTACTCACTCAGAACTGTTCACAATGGTGGTGACAGGAACCAGACGTCTGAACTGCCTGAGACACTGTTTTAGTCTAGATTTGAATAGACGTTTTGGCCTAAAACAAATTTTCTTACAATCTATTCATGGCTGAAGGGTGAATACATGGTGTTGCAAAGGCAAAATAATTCTCAAAGAAAACCTTTTTCCCAGATTTATCACTAATTTACCATCATCCACATTACATATAAAAACTGAGAAGAAACTGGTATTTTTTGGTTGGTAAATAAAATGGTTATACTTGAGTTGCAGACATTGCAAACCCTGGTTCCTATCACCAACACTGTAACTGTAAAGAAATCTGAATTTCTCTACAATGAACCATTTCAGATCAAACCCCTCTGAATAATTCAGCCATCTCTATGAGAGAACTACACACATTTTTTTACAAAACTGGTGAAAGTCCCCTTTCACAATGTCCTGAAAATGCAAAGACTCCAACAGGCAGAGAGGCTGCAAGTCACACAGAGCTTTTTTAATCACACTCCACTGGCCATGTGCGTGTGACAGGACAGCAACAGGAAATAGACTGTCCAGTATGACTTCCTGTTGTTTTGTGTTGAGGAGCAGACAGGAGGTTGGAAAACAGCCAGGCCGACTCTTCCTCCCTCATCACGCACGGACGCTTCACCCCTCAGCCACGCCACGGCCCAAACACGCCATTCTGAGGCTGAAACAAAGGTAAACAGGATGTGCTACGACTCGGGCCAATCTGAAAGTGAAAATGTCCAGCGCCTGAATGGACAGAGTCCACTTCATCACGTTCACTAATAACACACAGCCCAAACGGGGAATAAAACTCACTGAATCAAGCAGAGAGTTTGAAAGAAAAGGGCATATTCTATTTCAATCCACACCAAATTAGTGTTTGTGAGTAGAAGAGGGGAACGTTTTTTGCAATTTAAACTTCATGAAAATGTATTGATGTCTTTTCTTGTTATTATTTTGATATTTTGAAATTAATGCAATTCCAATTAATTAACTATGTAATTAAAATGTATTGAGGCAAATACAAAAAATTTCAACCCCGTTTCCAAAAAATTGGGACACTGTGCAAAATGTAAATAAAAACAGAATGCAATGATGTGCAAATCATTTAAAGCCTATATTTAACTGAAAGTAAAGATAAGACACCATAGCGAATACTGAAATTTTATTGTTTTTGAAAAATATGTGCCCATTTTGAATTTGATGCCACCAACATATTTCAAAAAAGTTGGGACAGGGTAACAAAAGAACTTGGGGTTTTCATCATTTATGGTGCATAACAACATTAAAAGATCCAGGGAATCCAGAGAAATCTCTGTATGCAAGGGACAAGGCTGAAAACCAATACTGGCTGGCCATAATCTTCGGGCCCTCAGGTGGCACTGCATTAAAAACAGACATGATTCTATAGTGGAAATCACTGTATGGGCTCAGGAACACTTCTGAAAACACTGTCTATAAACACAGTTCATCGCTGAATCCACAAACTCTACCATGCAGAGAAGAAACCACATATAAACATGATCCAGAAATGCCACCGCCTTCTCTGGGCCCGAGCTCATTTAAGACGAACTGAGGAAAGTTTAAAAGTTTCTGTTCATATTAAGGGAAAATGGGAAAACATTCAAACAGACTTTCACCACAGAGGTAAACATGCCCCTGTCCCAAATTTGTGGAACGTGTTGCTGGCATCAAATTCAAAACGGGCATATATTTTTCAAAAAACAATAAAACATTTTAACATTTGATATGTTGTCTTTGTACTATTTTCAAATAAATATAGGGTTCAAATGATTTGCACATCATTGTATTTTGTTTTTATTTACATGTTTTGCAGCGTCACAACTTTTTTGGAAACAAGCATATATTTAACAAATAAAATGTGTTGAAAAATGATGACAATAACTATAGACTTCTGAAGGTCAGTCTGCTTGTTGCTTACACACTGAAGCAGAAGTCAGCTCCATTAGGAACACGTCATGTAGATGCACCAGATATGCATGTCAGCCAAACTCAGCCGTGATGGACATACATGTCAGAGATAAACAGGTAATCAATATGACTGAAATAGAACAAAAGAAAAGAAGCAGGGGTGGATTTGACAGACAGACAGACAGATAGCTAGACATGCAGATAGACAAGCTTTCTTAATCCTGAAGGAAACAGCTGAGCTATAGCAGAAATCAACCTGTGCAGACATACACATATCAGGAAAAACTAAAAATATTATACTGAATTTACATTAATAAACAACTCTGTGAGCATCAAGTAGACACTAATTCAGTACGATATTCCAGGTATGCATAATCAGAATCATGCCAGGACTGGACGCCAATACTCCAGACACAAGAGATTTATTTTTATTCTATCTGATGTTACAATTTGCCTGTGTTTCAGAGTGCAAAAGTGAGAGCTTTGGGTAAAAATAAATTTAAAATGGTTATCTGTTGCTAAAAAAAAAAAAAATCAGCCAAATACACTGGCCATTGGCTGTCTTCGCTGTAAAGAGATCATAAATGGCCATAAAAATCATGCTCTGTTAACCCTTAGAGCCCTTTGGGCAGCATGCATATTAAAAAGATAATCTCACCAGATAATGAATCCTCTAAGCCAATATTTAACCATTAAAACTCTTGCCTGGTAATTAAAGCACTGTTTTAGAATCACAATCACAATTAATATTTCTGCAATAGAACGTGAGAAGGAGCATGTTAAGAGAAATGGTAGAGAGGATAATTACCACTCTGCAATGTCTTCCGGGGTTCTCAGATGCTAGAGGGCGCTCCCGAGCGAGGCCAAAGTGAATGGGTCAATATGGAGCATTTGAGCAAAGTTATAGTTTGTAAATGCTTAAACATTCTAAATATAAAAGAATACATTTATTGTCTGAACACACAACAGCATAAAACATTTTAACACTAATACTTTTAAAGTGCTTTTAAACTCAAATTATAGGAGTTTAAAATGGCGCCTCATGTACGTTCATGACGTCTGTGAGCACGAACAGCCAATGAGCACTCAGTAGCAGTAACGTTAGCGTCCTGCTGCCCAAAACCCATTTGCTGTAGAAAAAAGGAAATATATAGCTAAGTTTTCTTTGCTCTTTTAGTGAAATACATTCTACTACTTTCTAAAATTAAAGGAAAGTTCTCGGCAAGTGATTAGAAACTATTTAAACTTTTCGTTGTTAGCTGTTGAGCTCCATTCACCCCCATTCATTGAGGACTTGCTCGCAGGTGCCCTCTGGCATTTCGCAGTTATGTTTTTGATATAAT